CCCCCCCGCAGCGCTTCATCTTCACTATGGACGTTCAATCCCTATACACGTCCATACCCCACAAGGACAGTCTACAGGCCCTCAGTTTTTTCCTCTCTAAAAGACCCATCCAGTTTCCCCCGTCCCCTGACCCACCGATACCCTCCTCCGACTTGAACTAGCCCTCACCCTCAATAACTTTTCCTTCAATTCTTCCTACTTTCTCCAAATCCAGGGGGTTGCCACCGGCACTCACATGGGCCCCAGCTACGCCTGCCTGTTTGTTGCTTACGTACACAGAGTGGTGATAGGGAAAATCAAATGTAAGGGGTACTGTTCCCCAACTCTTCCGCCGTTACATTGACTACACAGAGAGATTACTGCGAAGAAAATAAGAAGCAGTAAACAAGAATGGAAAGAATCAACATAGGGAGAGGCAGTAACCAGCAACAATGGCAAATTCAGAAAGATACAGAGGATGCTGGCATTCTTGTGTATTTAAGCCAAAGTCAGCTATTCTGGAGCTAAAAGTAGCTACAATTCCACAATTTGAAAAATTGCATGGTTCTCGCGTGTGCTTCAACTATGCACCAAGCATTTAAGCTTACACCACTTTGCTCAAAAGGAAAACACAATTTTAATTATTTTCAAGTGGAGAAGGGATTTTTTTCTTCAGTTCACTATTCCCTCCGTTTCAGATTATTCCCATTGGTAGCACTCCTACCTGAGCCACATAGACCCAGGTTGAATTCCCACTCTAGGGTGCGAGCACATGAAAAACTACAGCTGACACTCCAGTGGGATATTGAGAGTGCACTGCATTGTTGGAGGGACCATCTTTCTGGAGAGACGTCAGGTGGATACTAAAATAAATATCGACATTATTTCAAAGGAACGGGAGATTTATCCCCAATGTCCTCACCAACATCTATCCCTCAAAATCAACATGACAGATTGCTAACTACATTCATAATGAAAAGAAAAAATGTTGGTGGAATACAGATGTGGTTCCAAATAAAATACCCAAATAAAAGCAGAAGAGAATCTGACTGGTCAGTGATAAAGCTGACTTATCAGAAATCAATTAGTATTAAAACAAATATTAACTCAAATGGATATAATTTTCAGGGGCCCTGCAGCACAAATTAGTATTGGCTTATCAGAAGGTCCATGTCACATTGACCATAATTTTGCATCCTCAAACAAACATTAACTTAGCCATGATTCCTACATAAGCCAATTGTTATGCACAAGACCTTGGGAAATACTGCCCTATGGTTTTAACACAAACCACTGATGTAAATAGTATATTTCCTTGCTTACTGCAAGACACATTTTTGAAGATCTAACTGAAATAAGAGACAACTATTTGATTACATCTTGGACACCAGCAATACAAAAAGTTCTGACTAGCCATAACTGAAGAAAAATGAGACATACTGAAAGGCCTATACACATTGACGGAATGGGGTCCAGGCTGAAATTGGCATCAACTACAACTCCAACAAATTTGAACAGATGACCCTTGCACTTTCCTAAACAAATCCTCCATGATCTGCTCAAGTGCTGCGTAGCCATAATGTACACAGGGATGTCCACTACGATATTCCACTGTTTACAAGCATGAGTCGATTGCACTAGATGTCCAAATAACTGTGTGGACAGTAGAGTGGAAAGAACAAGTTCTCAAAACGATCAAAAGAAATCAAGACATCTCATACATCCATATATGGCAGCAATCTACAAATCTGACTAACACTGCAAGCAGGTATTCTTACAGAAATAACTAGTGTGCATTATGGCAAACTCTTGAATTAGTTAGAGTAAACTTGTTGCAGGGTGTTAAGCAAAGAGAAGAGGATGGGTACAAAATGCTAGGGTGAAAAATCAAGTTAAAATAGGGCAGATTAAAATGGAGAGAGTTAAAGAACTTGAGGATTATTTTGAAGACAAAAATATAAACAAGCATTAACTGGAGGGAGAGAAAGACAAATAATTCAACATCAACTGGGGAGACCACTGGCTTCAACATAAAAAAGGATTTTACGGAGTGGGAATGCAAAAGCTCCAGTTTCCCCATACCTTTCTCACAACGACAGACTATATGCTCGAAACCTGTTACAACCTTCTGACTCAAAGGTAACCTAGCTGTCTATTTGATGCAAAAGAATCCATGCGTGACTTCAGAACCAAAACAAACCGTAAAAAGCCTCATCAGCAAAATTCCTTTGTTCTCAACTCATTGGAATACTCCCATTTGTGGACAGCAAGCAGCTGTACTTCAAACAGCTTCAAAATAAAAAGGGAGGCCTAGCGGTATTATCACTGGACTGTTAATCCAGAGGCCCAGGTAATGTTCTGGGGACCTAGACTATTTCCACCATGGCAGATGGCAGAATTTGAATTCAATCAAAAATGTCTGGAATTAAGGAGTCCAATGACAACCATGAAACCATTGCCAATTGCTGGCAAAAACCCATCTGGGTCAGTAATGTCCTTTAGGGAAGGAAACTGACATCCTTACCTGGTCTGGCCTACATGTGACTCCAGATTCACAGCAATGTGGTTGACTCTCACGTGCCCTTTGGGCAATTAGGGATGAACAATAAATGCTGGCCTAACCAGCTGAATTATCCACCAACTTCAGAAGAGCTAGGAGCCAATAGCGTTTTCCAAGCTCACCAAGAGCAGCGCTCAGTACATTCTAAAACCGTCCATTAAACATTCTCTATCATGGCATTGTCAACATACTTTACTACTAGACACTGCTTAGGAAGAGCGAGTACGACCCTTAGCTTCACAGGTGCCAAACAGGTTTTTCCAGGGTGAGGGGGACAACAGGAGGTTCCAACAGCAATGGGAGGTCAAAGTAAGAGGTTGTGGTGGGGAGAAGGAAAGAAGGAAGCAGCAAAAATCAGGGAAGGGGGAAGAAAAA